ACCCTAGCTTTATGGATGACTCCTAAGAGAAAGCAGCAAATAGTGAACAGCATTCTTCCTATCATTGAGCTTGCCTGGATTATGATTTTGAAGGTTTTTAACACTGTACTCACAATGGAACTTCCTTACCAGAGGTTTTAGTAACTGATTAATCAGTGGAGATCCCATGGTCCAACCATGTCTTAAGGCTCCATATAAAAATTTCTTCAGCTCTTCTGTTTGTTCACCTATTTAATCATTCATTCATTTTGTAAATATTGCAGCTACTTGTGTGCCAGGGACTGTGCAAGGTCCTGGAACACAAAAAGGAGCAAGACAAACATGGCCCCCCACATGGGGACAGCCTGCAGGCTAGTATAAAAGCGAACATTCCCTTTTGTCTTCCTGCAAGGGAAGGAAAAGCTCCCTGTTTGCTATTTAAGGAATAGTTAGAAACACAACTGACTTCTCACAACCCTTGCTTATAAAATCAAAGAGAATAACAGCAATGTAATGGCTCCCTAAAATTCGCCTAGATACTCAGAATTTCAGTTCATTGTTCACTTTAAAGGAAAGTAAGAAATACTCTTTAGTGGCCGATTTCAAAGAGGAGTGCCCATGGCCTCTTGGAAGAATCTGGAGAGCACATAAGACCTTTATTTATGGTAGAGAATGTTCTAATGTCAAGGTTTGGCGAGTTCTTTACTTAGCTCAGCGAGATGTTTACAAAGCCTGGCTCCCAGTAGGTTCAATTAACATTTATTGACCTCATCTCTGTCAATACCTATGTTTTTAATAAAAGAATTGAAACACCTGCTTCACACAAAAATGCTTAAGTAAATTTAGCTAAGAGCAGCAGAACACTGGAAAATTCAATTTATGTTTCTTAGATTAATACACAGCTACAGAAAACATTTTCTAATAGAATTCTGTAACAGGTTGTTTTTGCTATTTAAAAAAAGTATCTTTTGAAGAGTAGTTCAGTTAATGGATGAACCATTTTCTCCTGCCTTAGTGCCAGCTCTTGCCTCCTTGGGCTCTAGAATCCTAAAGGAATTAGGGAGGGGCTGAGTAATCTGTTTCTGTATCCTAGTTGACGCCCCTTTGCATCACTTCTGACTTCGGCTGGAATTTTAGGCAAATCTCCTTAGTAAGGATAAGTAGTCTTAGGGGAAAATATCTATTAATACCAGAAAGAGAAAGGTCTTAACTGAGGTCTAGGGTAGGATGGGGATGGGACTCACCTCTCTAGGGCTTGGTTTTTTTTTTTTAAGAGACAAAGTCTCACTGTTGCCTAGGTAGAGTGCAATGGCATGATCACAGCTCACTGTAGCCTCAAACTCTTGGGATCAAGCAATCCTCCTGCCTCAGCCTCCCAAAGTGCTAGGATCATAGGTGTGAGCCACCATGCCTGGCCCAGACTTGATCATTGAAAAGGGACACTTGACCCAACCATGATCCTGTCTCCTAAGTCCATTCTCTCTACTAACCTAATACCCCCAGTGAAAATGATTAGCACTCAAGGTCTGGAAGAAATGGGGGTGGTTAGTAGAACCACTGAGAATTTATATAAACATTACCAATGCCTTCTCGTTCTTCCTGGGAATTCGTGAATATTCAGCCAATTGATACCTTTTTCCCTAGAGCATGAGGGGCCACGGAGAAGAAGCTTCAATCACCAAAGGGGTAGGATAGAAATTCCTCCCGAGCCTTAGATTTGAAAGGCCATCTGTTAAGACAGAGTGAACTGAGACCTCAGACTGTCTCCACTAATTGTTACCATGTCAGTAAAATCCTAATGCCACAGTGAATGAATTAACACCAAGCCATGTCGACATCAGCTCCTCTCAAAATGAGCTGCGTTGGAGGCACTCATAAATATGTAAACAGAGACGTTTGGGTGGCTTTAAAATTAGCCCTGATCTTTTACACTGAGTGTAGGTATTTCTGGGCATGGAGGAGAAAATGAAGTCTGTTCTGGCAAGAAGCGTTAGAGAGAGAACTTCTCACTTGCTGGCAGGGAGTGAGGGGAAGCAGGTTGCCTCTTTTGCTCACTGTCCCTCTCTGAGCACCTTTGCCTCTGCCAGGCCCTGTGTGGAGTGAGCTTTGCCTCATTAATGGGGAGATGTACCCCGGCTTCCAAGAGCTGTAACCCGAGCAGGGTGCTGGAAGGTTTTCCATCAAGTTATCATGGGTGTTGAAAACTCGTCCCCACCCCCTCCCCTCAAAGCAACAGAGCTTTCTCAAAGTTCCTAAATTTCCAGGGTCACCACAATCTATCTGTGGATTAAAGCAACTGTCTCAACCTGTGGAATGAGCAGCTCGTTGCCGCAGCCAGGCCAAGGCCCAGTACAGATTTAGAAAGGCATGGGCTTGTTGGGTGGAGGGGCTGGGAACCTTGCCTTTGCAGAATTAGAATTTTGTACTAAATAAAATAATATAGAGTTTACTACTTCTTTGTGCTAGATAATTCAACTAAGAAATAGTGAATATTTAAAAAAATCCTGTCAGTCTTGTCTATTTCCTTCCTCCAAAAGACAACCACATTCCCAGATTCCAGAACTACATTCTCAATTCCTCAGATTGAAACATTTCAGACAGTTTTGATATTTTCCACAGCTTATAAAGACCCTTTGGCTGCTTGCATTTTGATTTTCTTACAGACCTAAAAATGGTTGGCAGATCAAAATGAATAAACAGGCTTCAGTACTAAGTCCCCAAACCCTCAAACTTTGACTCAAGCTGTTACCATGCAGAAAAATTAATTCAATCTTTTAAAAATATATTATGAAATATTTAAGATATGCAAAAAAGTATGGATAATATAGCAAACAACTTTGAACTCACTATTCAATGTAAGAAATAAAACATGACAGATACAGCTGAAGTCCACAGATAACTGCTATCCTGAATTGCTTATCGTTCCCATGCTTTTCTTATTTTACTACGGTTTTGTTTCACATGTTTTAAGACTTCACGTATGTATTATATGCATTCATCGGCAAGTTTCTTTTTCCCCTTGACTTTACAATCATGAGATTCATCTGTGTGGGTACACACACACATACACATATCAAACATTTGTATGATATCACATACATATGATACATACATATGTATCACAATTTATATATCCTTTACTAAATATTGCTAAATTGTTCTACAAAGGATTTATACCAATTTGAACACTCACTATCAGTATATAAAAGAGTTCCTGTTGCATTGCATATTTGACAAAAGTTGGTATCATCAGAGTATAACTTTTGCAATCTGACAGGTAAAGTCATACCTTCCTCATTAAAGTTTTAGTCTGCAATTCTGGTGATTAGTGAGATTAAGCAAGTTTATTGGTCAGTTTTCAACTCTTTGAATAATATGTTTATATCTTTTCATCATTATTCTATTGAGAGGTTACTTTGTTTTATTTTTTTCTCATTATCCTATGGGAGTTCTTTATGTATACTGAATGTTAAACCTTTCTTGGGTCAGCAAATATCTTTCTATAGTCTGGTTTGTCTTTGTACTTTGCTTATGGTGCGTTTTGGTGCACAGATGTTTTGAGTTTTCATATAGTTACATTTTATCAGTCTTTTATGTTTGGTTTGTCCAGATCTTATCTAAGAAATGCTTCCCTACCTCAAGATCATAAAGATTTTCTCCAGTATTTTCATCTAAAACCTCCAAGTTTTGCATTTCACCTTTAGTTCTTCACATCTTGCTGGGATTAATTTTGGTGTGGGATTTGGTATGTTTGGTATGGGGTAGTGATCTGTTTTCATCCATTTGGAAAACCAGTGGTCCCTGTCCACAGGGACCATTTATTGACCAGCCACTCTTCCTGACCAGTCCTGCAAGGCCAGTTGTCTGTCATCTGCCAAGTCTTGGGCTCTCTGCCCTTTCCCCGGGGTGAAAACCACACTACCTGAATTACTATAGTTTTATAAAAGGTCTTTGCATCCAGTAAAGCAAGTTCCTCCACCTCATTCTTCCTCAAAATTATTTTGGCCATTTTTGGCACAACTTTAATCTTTATCCTCTCCTTGAGTTTGCCCTGGCCTAGTGCAAGCAATCAAATGGCAAGACTTGAAATAAAAAGGGAGAAATCAAGCTAAAGTCAGCCCTGGATGA